ACTGATAATCTCCCTCGATCTGGGGCTCCACGCAAGATCTCATCCCGTGGGGTCAAAATGATCATGAGAACGGTGAGCAAAGATCCCAGAACCACACGGGGGGACCTGGTGAATGACCTGCAGAGAGCTGGGACCAAAGTAACAAAGGTCACCATCAGTAACACACTACAACGGCAGGGAATCAAATCCCGCAGTGCCAGACGTGTTCCGCTGCTGAAGCCAGTGCATGTCCAGGCCCGTCTGAAGTTTGCCAGAGAGCACATGGATGATACAGCAGAGGATTGGGAGAATGTCATGTGGTCAGATGAAACCAAAGTAGAACTTTTTGGTATAAACTCAACTCGTCGTGTTTGGAGGAAGAAGAATACTGAGTTGCATCCCAAGAACACCATACCTACTGTGAAGCATGGGGGTGGAAACATCATGCTATGGGGCTGTTTTTCTGCCAAGGGGACAGGACGACTGATCCGTGTTAAGGACAGAATGAATGGGGCCATGTATCGTGAGATTTTGAGCCAAAACCTCCTTCCATCAGTGAGAACTTTGAAGTCCTTAGGGACTAGTAAAGCGCTATATAAATACAGGCCATTTACCATTTAAATAAATGCAGATGCTTAATAACACAAGCTGTTGCTACGAAATTGATCTAACCTTGTTCATTCTTTTATAGAACCTCACAAGACATTACAGAAAGGTCACACAAGAATTATTTGTAGAGGACTATTTTTGTGTGTGTGCATGTGTTTGTGTCCATTTTTTGGTTTTGTTTTTGTGTCTCCCACAGCCTGTCATTGCTGGATTTTAGTTCAGCAGATTTAGCCTGATAAACTGGCAGATAAACACAGAGGCCACACAGTAAAATGTACTGCCAAATTTTGCACCATTCGCTAATATGCACTTCTGAAGGAACTTTGGCGGAGACATTCAACTGATGTCTTTTGTTTTCATGTGTGAGGATCGTTAGGGGAGGCGGGGGGGGGACCTTGAGTTGACACTGTTGAAAGAATAGGGTCTAAGGTGAGACTGAGACAAAAGATAAAACTTTGTCTTTTGAGAAAGTGTGGACAACAGTTATGGAAAGTAGTCCCCTGCTGAATAAAGGTCTATCTACTAAAGGGAGAAAGAAAGTGTTGAGTACTGTTCACTGTGTTTCCATTAAAATTAAATTTGACATGACAAATGGCATATATCAATAAACAGTGAAGGTTCAGTTCAGAGTCCCATTTTAAGATACTATGGAAATTCTGGCTACATGCAAACAAACACAAAGTGTTTATTTGGAAGAGTTTGTGATGAACCATTTGGAGAAAAGTGTGAACCTATGATTATTATCATGTGTTGTTGTCTCCATTTGTTTATTTGTTTTTTTAATAAGGTTTAGATGTATGCAAATATCATTTTTATCCATGCAATTTTTTGATTGCTCTATACATAACAAATGTGAAAAATATTGTTTTTCTTTGTTTTGTTCAGATGTGACTCAGGCCACCACTCAGACAGGGGAAGAGTTGTGACAGATGTGTGAATATTTTATAATAAATGTTCTTGTTTTAAATTTTGGTTTTCGTTGACTGTTTATTCATCCTTATGGTATATGTGTCATTAGTTTAAATTCTCAAAAAGAGATGTAGGAAGACTAAGAGGAGGATGAAACTTTTTCACATGAAATGTATAATAATAACAAGTATTGTGAATAAGAAATGCGTTTCTAACATAGATGTTTATGAATCAAGATTTATAAAACACTAGTTATGTAACTGGTATCATTTTGGCTTTAAAATAAAAACAATCGAACTTATGTTTTATGAACAATTTGATGTTTTGATAATAATTAATAACTGCATTCAATGTCACTGATAGTTTTAAAGACATTAATATTAAAATGTATAAATTACACTTGAAAGCTGTACACTACTTCATTTTCAGTGTTTGTGAGCTTTTCCTTGCTCAAAAGCAAGGTAAGCTTTAGGTGACACTGTTGAAAAGAGTAAGGTGTAAGGCGAGGGAGATGTTCAAACTGAGATGATAGATAAAACTGTGTCTATTGAGAAGGTCAAGATGTGGACTACAGATGTGGAAATTAGTACCCTGCTGATTAAAGCTTTTAACTAGTAAAGGGGGAAAAAGGTCTTGACTACTCTGTGTTTCCAGACTGTTTTTTAATTAAAACATGAAAACAACTTTGCTGTCCATTTTGACAGCTTCTTTGTTTGACAAACAAGTATCCTCTGTAGTTAAATGTAGTTTCTACTAAATGCATCAAATCCCCAAGGCCAAGTACTGCATACCACACGAGGACCTTAAGAAAGTTATTCATGCTTTTGTGACCTCTTGATTAGACTATTATAATTCCCTTTACTTTGGTCTCCACTCCACCCTTCTTTATAGATTGGAGCTTTTGCAGAATGCTGCAGCACGTTTTTCCCCAGGAATTGGAAGGTTTGCCTCTATTACCCTGGTCCTTCCTGACCTGCATTGGCTTCATATCAAATATAAGTTAATATGAGCATTGAGTTTAAAATTCTGTTGCTTACCTTTAAAATCATAAACAGTACTGTGGCATGTAACCTTAGGAGAGCCGTAAGACCATCAGGACAATGACTTTTAGTGCAGCCTAGATCTCAGCTAAAGCAAAGAGGTAACCATGCTTTTGCCCTGGCATGCCCGAGACTCTGGAACAATCTTCCTTCTGCTATTTGCGTCTTTTATTCCATCCATTCATTTAAATCAGGGTTAAAAACTTAACTGTTTGACTAAGCATTTTCAGTGAGTTGTTGTTCATTCCCTTTATTTTATTCCCATGTTATTTATCTTCTATTGATGTACCAATGTATAAATATGGCCACCTTATATTTACAAATAGTCATTGATTGTGTTTTTTTAAATTATGCTGACATAATTTATTTCTCATTTTATCTGTATTGTTTGTTTAATTATCATTTCTATTTTGTTAGTTTGTACTCTGTTATGCTGTTATGTCTGTTATGTCTGAACCTTGTTGTGAAGCACTTTGGTGTACCGTATTGTAAATTTGACATGACAAATGGCATATATCACGGGAAATTCATGTAAATAGAGCTCCTCCAGATATTGGCTTAATTTTTATATAATAGGAAGTAATTGAGTAATGCTGCTTAATTTTTGTAATAATTATTGGTTATTTTGTTTAAAACCAACAACAAACAACCAGTGTTGTAGAAAAGTAGAACCCCTAACCTTTCCCCCTCCTGACCCCTCCTCTTTAGTTTTACACTCCCTTCCTTACAGTGGCAGTGATTGGTTAAATCCTGTTGAGTGATGTTCTCTTCAGGTTGGGTATTTAGAGACTATGGCTTAGATATTTTGTCTTAAACTTTATTGCACGGTCCTAGGTATCGGCTGAATCATCCTGTTTCCCCTTTTCGGCTCTTCTCCTTCTCCACGGCATCCTCCTCCTCTTCTTGGGCTTCTTCTGTACATCCTTTCATGTGTTGTTAATTATTAGTCCTTCCCCCAATGTCTTTATTCCCCACAATCCATAAAAAGGTATAGTTGACACACTCTGCAATGTCACCTTTTTTGATAGTAAAAGACCCATAGCCACAAATCTCCCATAACTCTCTGGAGGGGATTCAGGCTCCAAGAGAAAAGAACTTTATCATTTTGGTTTTCTTATTCATATCAAACAATAATATGTAACCCATGCAATTCGTATTTACAATAAACCATCACACTGTTAGTGTTTCACTCTCTGTTCAAACCAGTTATCATGCAATTCTGTTACGGGGACTCATGGCTATCAGGAGTACATATACCACTTTAATCTTGACTTTTTAGTCTTGGATTTTTTTTTTTTTTTTTGTGACAATTTGCCCTGTAACACAATTATGATCTGTTCCTCCACATATACATTTCTATGCTTTAACAGCAAACAACAGATTTCCAGACCATTTTCTTGGTTGAAACTTACTTTATTTCACACTATACCTCTAAAACCTTACCTCTATAAGTATATTCTAAGGTTTTATTCAATTTAGCCTCATATAACAGTCGGAGAATACGATGAGGTATCCGGGCTTGGCTCCTGAAAATTACAACAGGAAATCCAGATCTTTCTGCCCTCCCTCCCTCAGACATTGAAGTCTCCACGGATTATTTTAGACCATATTATATATACTTCATATTAACAACATCATAGGAATACAAGATTATTAAGATCCAAACCCATAACAAATATATACAAATAAAGAACCAGAGAAACGTTTCTCAGGCAGGCACATTCAGACCCGTTGGCATATAAGTTTTCAGTCTGTCTATCCAGATCTTCTCCATCCTCCTCCGCTGACCGACCGACCAACCCGGATTAGCCTGCAGGCCCATGATGCTCAGGGCCTCCTCTGTGTGTTCCCTGAAGTGGATGGCCACTGTGGAACACGGCTCACCTGCCCGAACGGCATACAGGTGTTGCTGTAAGCGCCCTCTCAGGCAGGCCCCAGTTTCCCCCACATACATTATCCCACAACACCTACACTGTATTGCATAAACCACATTTTTTACCTCCAAGGAAAATCTTCCAGAGACCGCCCAAGAGGCCCCACTATGCGGATTATTAATCATGTGGCTATATGTCAAAAAGCGCTTGAGTGCATCAGGTGGTTCTCTTTCCCTCCCCCCCCCCCCCCCCCAGTTTGGCCCTAACCAAAAGGTCACCCAAACTAGGATTTTTCCTAAAGGCCTTAATCAAACGTACCTCAAATACACGACCCCGAGTTTTCATGTCACCAAGGTTCTGTTGGACACCAGCAAGAAAAGGTTTGTAACTCTCATGGAACGTACTAACAAAAGGTAAAAGCAGAGGTGGAAAGAGTACTCAAAATTTGTACTCAAGTACAAGTACTGTTACACTGGTTAAATTGTACTCAATTACAAGTAAAGGTACTGGTGTTAAAAAAATACTCTTGAAAAGTACTTTTCTCAAAAACTACTCAAAGTATGAATTACTTTTTAACAGACTGATGTTTTATTCTGTTGTCAATAGCAGGCATTCAACTCGATTCACCAGTATAAATATTTATGTTCAAAGCACATTTTTCAGATGAACAAGGTATAGAAAGGTAACTTGTTTTGTAAATAAATGTAGATATAAAAGGAGGAATTTTGTTTGTTAAAACAATGACAAAAATGTTTCTGAACATGCGTAGAACCATTTAAACTTTTCCCCATACACTGAACAACAGGCAGGTAAGTGTCTTAAAGTCTTAGCATTTCTTTCACACTTTACTTTCTGAACCTTTTGTTCAGTTTCAGCAAGAGCTGGTTTTCTAAATTAACAGAGGCAATCCGACTTCGTTTGGCAGTGAAGAGTAGACCAGCACAGCTAAAAAGTCGTTCACACGCAGCAGAAGCAGGCAGAGCTGTGTTCAGTTTAAGAGAGAGGTTTTTGATGGCTGAGAAGGAGTGCAGCAGCTCCATGGTGTCTGTGGCACAAGCAAGATAACCATCAAGCTCAACTGCACTTTGCAGCCTTCTGGAGATTGGTCTGGAGAAGAATTCATCTTCATCAGATGACTCTCTTTGCTGATCCTCACTCTCATGCTCTGTCGTTTCAAGATGTTGTTTGATGTATGTCAAGGCTGTAATTGCAAGTAGATAACACAATTTTGTTATTTAAATTTCAGTGATTATTCCTGAACACAAATTTAAAATCGGCAAATTCTCAAAAAGGATTGTTTAGTATTCAGGACAGACCATCAATAACTTACAATGTATTAGGTGAAATACTCACTTAAGCATGTGTTCAAATGTAAAAATACACAAAAATGGGATCACATGAATCCTTACCAGCCTCTGTTACATCTGCTCTGTCAGTCCAGGAAGTCTTGAACTTGGGTAAGAGGACTGCAGCTGCAGCCAACTCTGGATCCTCCATCATCGCTCCAAAACGCTTTTGAAGGCCATTTTGCAGGACTCTGATGAGTGGCACGCATGTCTTGCTTGATGTCTCCAGCCTGCTAAGTTTGGACAGTAGTTGTTGGATTACTGGCAGGAGCCATCCCATAAAGGAAGTGGACTCAGACTGAAGGATGTTTGAAGCTTTCACCAGTGGCTTCATGGTGGTACAGTACTCCCTTAGGAATGCAACTTCTGCAGGACTCAACCTGTAAGACACAACAACAAAACCCACCATGACTATAATAGGGATCTTCTGATTTAATATTAAGAGTCTGCTCACGTTTTTAACCATCCATTAAGGAAAATTCACAAAATTTGCAACCATATTGGTAGGTGTCCAATTTTACTCACATTTTCACCTTGAACTCCTCACAAATGCTCCTGATGGCATCTTCCCCCTTCTCATCAATGATGCGTATTATCCTTTCAATGGCAAGGTAGGTTGAATTCCATCGTGTTGCATTGGGACGAATGATCTGTAGCTCACACTTGTCCTCTACCACTTCATTAGCCAAATGAGATCGGCCAGTTTTGTTCCAAATGGCCTGGCATTTTGCAAAGGTTGCACGGGAGAGCCTCTTGTAGGTTTCATTCATGCTCTCTGCTAGGGCAGCATCAGTTGTTGCCACAAGGTTTAGCAGGTGACATGCACATCGCTGATGAGGCGGGAGTTGATACTCCAAACCAGAGTCTTCATCAAGAATTGCACTTGCCTCATGGTAGTCCCTATGGTCAGTCAGGTCAATAGTTTCTGGGTCTGCTTCATCTTCAGCTTCATCTGCATCATTTTGTGCCCCAAACATGTGGAAGGCCTTGACAAAGTTGGATCCACTATCAGTTGTGGTTCTTACAACTTTGCCTCTAATCTTGTATTGGCAATGGATATCATCAAGCGCACCAGCAAGCATGTCAAATGTGTGAGACCCTCTCAATCTTTTGCATGCTAGTGCTGCAGATCTTCTTTCCAGGGACGCTTCCTCTATCCAATGGCATGTGACTCCAAGGTAACTTTTCTGATGAGCTGACCAACAATCAGTAGTGGTAGCAACAAATTTGACTTTATCCAATGCTGCAACCAAAGTCATCTTCATGTGATCAGCAGCTTCACAGATTCTGGCACGGACAGTGGGTCTGGAGATGACTTTGGCTTGAGGTTGTAATGTGGTAACCAATTCTTTGAAAGATGGCTGTTCTACCACTGCAAATGGCTGTAGACCCTCACATATGAAATTGATGACAAGCTTGTCAACAGTTGCTTGTGGAACATGTTTGTTTGCAGCTCTCAACATCAGGTCTGGTAACTTGGCTTGTGTATTTGCTGAGAGCTTGTTTGGTGTGGCTGTGGCCTTTCGCTGACGAGATGTTGATGCCACAGTGATATTGTACTGCTCAATCTTCGATGGATGTTTCCTCTGTAGAGATAAATATTATCATACGTCAGGTTCATACATTACTTCATAACATCACTGTGATTAACACTAAAAGAAAACACATTTTTAAAACATTATTCAACTAGACTTGAGCTAATCTTTGATTGTTGAGCATAGTATAAAAGAGTGGTGAATTGGTCAAATCTTGCAGATATATTGCTGTATTTATTTACAAGTGTAAACCAATTTTGAACGATCATTGCAAAAAACATGAATTTCTGTATACATTCTAAGTTCTGTAATATGTATACTATCTGTAAAAAGAGTATCGACCAATGTATCAGTATCTAAATTTTTAACTCCTTTTTATCAGTATCACCCTAAAGTTTTCAGTATTAGTCAGGTCCTAAAAATACTAAGAGAGCAAAATATGTGTATCTAGCAAATCTAATTTAAGAAAAGGGATCACATACACAAAAATGCTGCCCATACAGCTAACAAATAAAACCAATCCACATTATGTTCTTTAAAAAAAGATATCATATTGGGAAACATAACCCTACTGATTAAGAGCCATGTCACTATGATAGACCTATATCAGGCCAATGATACTGATCAACTGATCCATCAATCGGGCTCTGGTACATGTCAGCTGAGAGCTGGAAGATTAATTTGAGATGCAGCTCAGCACTGTGTTCAAGTTTGTTTGTTTTTTTGTTTTTTTAAATAGGCCAGCTGATTGTAGGCCTGTGAGTTTTAAATGACTACAAGTTTAATTTATTGTAATGACGGTGGTTATCCAAATAATAAGCTAAAACATTCCTACGAATTGTAGCTCAATTATGCATGCACACACGCACATTAGCTAGCTCCGTCTTATTTTAATATCAGGCTAACCAATGGCGGTGACAATATCTTAGCCAAACTAGTAACCTTAACACACATGAAAAATAAGAAAGCAATATCATACACGTATAGTTGTAAAACCTCTTACCTCAATGTGTTTTTTTAGATTAGATGCTGAAGTCTTGTAAGCTGAAATGACTGTAGAGGTCAAACAAAGTTTGCACTGCATCTGGACGCTGTCTCCTTTTCTTCCTCTGTACACGAAAAATTCCTCCAGGTATGGCCACGGGCACGCGTCCTCCGTCTTTTCTACGTCGTTTTCATGGTTGACAGTGTTGTCCTCTGTCTCCATTTTGGCTTCTTTGTCTCCAAATCTTTCGTCTATAAAGTAGTTTATACTCCACCATTTAGCACCTCCAGACACCTGTGCCTGCTGCTGCAGCGGAGTTTATTCTTTGCTTACGTCTTAAATTGGCGCGGTTGCGATTGCACGGCCTTATTGGCTGCAAAAATGCAGACGAAAGGTTTGAATATTAATTCAAATTGTGGGCGTACTCAGTAGTGACTTTTGATTTTATAAGTAGCGAAGTAGATTACATGGTGTAAGTTGTACTCAAGTATGAGTAAAATTACACACTTGAAAAATTACTCGTAAAAGTACAAGTACCCAAAAAATGTACTTAATTACAGTAACGTGAGTATTTGTAATTCGTTACTTCCACCCCTGGGTAAAAGACTATCCCTTTCAACTTCATCCCCGATGGCATTTGGATCGAGAGGAGTGCCCTTATCATCCTCCTCACGGGCGCTCGGAGTGCAGAGGTTCGAGAGTGTATCTCTGTATACTCTCCTCAAAAAGGAACGTGAATAGCCCCTCCTTCTCAAACTTTTAAACAATATGCGCGTTGCATTATTGAAGTCCTCCCTTTTACTGCATATCCTGTGAAACCTTAATATCTGTGATTTTACAATCCCTCGGAACGTGTGAGGTGGATGGTAACTGGATTTGTATGAACGCATGCGTATCGGTGGGCTTAAAGTATACTCTCGTGTGCAGCCTCTTCTCCTCCTCCCCCTCCTCAAAAAAAAAAAAAACCGTAGTATCTAAGAAATTAATCTCAATATGGCTATACTCATACTTCAACTTTATTGATGGGTGGTGAGTATTTAATATATGTACAAACTGATGGAAGGTGTCCTCCCCGTGTGCCCACGCGCCCACAATATCATCCAAGAAACGTAAATAAAATACTGGCTGTAAAGGGCACTTGGCCAGCGCCTCTCTCTCCCATTCGCTCATATAAATGTTCGCGTATGAAGGAGCATATCTTTGGCCCATCGCCGTGCCCTCCATCTGTAAATAGACTTTATTTTCAAATTGAAAGTCATTATTAACCAGGCAGATTTCCAACAGCTTCAGAATCTCTACGTCCGGACGCGCAGCATCCGGATAACGGCGGAAGATATTGCTGACTGCCCTCAGACCCATTTCAGTATTGATGTTCGTATACAAACTATCAATATCTATTGTGAATAAAAATGCATTGATGGGCACTGACATAGAGCGAATGATATTTAAAAAATGATATGTATCCTTGAGATAGCTCGGGTGCCTATTAGATAACGGCCCGAGAAACGAATCAATATATTGCGAACATTATATGTGGCGCTACTACAGTCCGAGACAATCGGCCTCCCGGGTGGAATTTCAAATTTGACAGTCCAAGTATCGGGGCTCTTATGGATTTTAGGCAAGAGGTAAAACAAACGCAGGCGAGGATCATCCGGGCCCAAGAAATAGTCACGTTGCTTAGCGGAAATATGTTTATTATAGTACAATGAATAAATGATCTTCCTGATACTCCGCTGCACTTCAGATTGGATCGAATGTGAAATACATTTATAATACTTTGTATTGCCCAGCTGTCTTTGGGCCTCCAATCTAAACTGTTGTTTATCCATGATGACTATTTTGGACCCTTTATCCGCCGGTTTTATCACAATGTTTTCATTCTCCTTCAGTTCCCTCAGAGCCTGCCGTTCCTCCCTCGAGAGACCGCCCTCCCCACCCACCTGCGGCCGAAATGAATGAAATAACCGGATATCCCTCTTTATTAGATCTCTGAGCGATTCACTCAAGGTTCCCCACTCCGGCTCCCAAACGGATGGCTGAATAAAGGGCTCTCTACAAAAATCATCATTATCAAAGTAGTCCCTCAACTTTAATCGTCTATGATAATAATGCAAATCACGACGGAGTAGCTCTCGGGAGAAACTACGCGGCTTTGGGCTGAAAGTAAGGCCCTTCTCTAATAGACTTAGTTGTGCTGACGATGGAACAAAAAGCCTGGAAAGGTTTAACACGTTGGAGGAAGAGGACCAACTTAAATCTAGCAGAGGAACAGGATTCATCTCCTCAATCCGCTGCTCCACTCGCGGTTCTATCATCCCTCTAAACCCTCACTAAGTCGCAGGCTTTCGCACCAGCTCCCAAAGATTTTTCCAGCAGTCTCCTTCGTCCAGTGAATACCATCTGCTGTAGTGTGAAAATGTTGCTGTGATATACATGGCAAATAATTGTAATGCGTGCTAATGAAATTATTAATCATGGTGAGATTATACTGCTGAGTTTTGGACAATGACTTGGAGAAATGGACGTGAGCTACAAAAATATCCGCATTCGGAAACGCGATTTTCGCACCATTCACCACCCTACGCAATTGCTTGATCGAAGTCTTTTGAGGGTCCTGATCCTTATTATTTAGGCCTATAGATAGCACCACCAGTCCCGTATTGTCACATACCAGTGCTGTCTCCAACAAGTTGAAGAAATGATAGAAATTCGCACCCGGATAGCTCTCCACTTGAATCTGATCGTTATTGAAGGGGGTATCCTACTTAGATTAGAATCTCCCAAGAAAACTATAGGTTTATTAACCTTAATTCTCCAATCCTGCAGTTTACGACTAACCCGCGCCCGATGGTAGGTTGGCGTATGCCACACCCTCTCCACGCTCTTCGTCTCGGCCCTCGCCCCAATCGACTCTCACCCCTGTGGGCTCGCGTCTGCTGCGATCCTCAGTTTGCTTTTTTGACCCCACGGTTTTAAATTCTTCCACAGAGTCATTGCTCTCATTATCTTCCTCGCTCAGGTGAAAATTGCTTTTAATATTAAAATAGTAGGGATCAGCGCGGTCCAGTGAGTCACTGCTCAAGGCGCCCGCTGGCTCCTGCTGTTGCAGGACCTCAATCGTCATCTCACCCACTTCCCTAACCCTAACCCTCTGAAGAAGCGACAGCAGTCGCGAAACGTTAGGGATGCCCCTCAGACCAGCGTGAACCAGGGTTGTAACTCCCCCAGAACAAGGTAATTTGGAGTAAAAACAGTTTTTTTAGCCTCACTTTTTTACTGGGAGTAAAACACAATTGGTTCT